GTAAGAAGTTGAACGTCGTTGTCTATTATTTTTCTTTTTCTTTTTGGGGGAAAATTCTCTGCTTTACTTACTCTTTTAATCTCATTAGCCTCCTCCTGCTAACTCATCATCTCTCTCAGTATCGTATTCAAATGGATTACCAATTATTCCATCAGCATATGCTTCACAACAACAAGATCCAAATCGTAGAAATTTCCCCCCATATCAAATACCACAAGCAATTCAAAATAATTCATCGCATTATCCTCCTTATCTTTCAAATACTCGATCCGTATTTCCTCCGTATTCTTTTCCACGACAACATCAAGATATTCGTCAAACTCAATCAGTTACTTATCCAATGCAATTGAATAATTCTTCCATTCCATCTCAGCCAAGGGTTGTGCCTACATACGCTCCTATTCAACCAAACAATACCACCACAGTTACGACAGTTCCAGTATATGCCTCAACTCCAAGGGTGGAACGTAGCGGTTTAGATAATCTTTCATTGGCCGCAGAATTAATATTATCTTCAGCCATTTCGTCATTTCCAACATCTACCTTGATACCGAAACAACAAGATAATCAACAAAAAACTCCTAGTAGGGAAGTATCATCCTCATCGGATTGTTCAACAATTTCAATGGAAACGCCAATAAATATTACAACCACTTCCACAGCTGATACTCTAATTGCGGAAAATCCGATTAACATTAATAATAATGATAAGTCAGCACCATCGACACCACCACCTAGATTTAACGCAAGAATCATTGATTCGTCAAAGAATATTTCCACCCCTGATACGATAACAGCTATTGCAGATGACGATACATATAAGAATACATCGATTGATGCAGATGGACATTCTATGCAAACCTTATCACCTTCTACTAAAGTAGATGAAGAAGATATTCACAGTGATCATCTATCAAGTGTTGATGAATTTATGGATGTTATGGGTGAAGGGACTCTTCAAATTATAAAAGAAAGTAAATCTGATATTAAAATTGATGTAACGGAAGATAATAATGTAATTACTTCTAATCGTGAAGAATCCGAAGAAGAATCAAATGGTCCACCGAAGAAAAAACGACGTCTATCAAATGTAAAACGCGCCCCTCCACCTGTGCAAATTTTTTAAATTGCTTTTTAATTTG